AAAACCAAACAAAACAAATAATAATTTCTTTTTTGGGTTAGTTTTTTCTTATTATCCCAACATTGTTTTTTTTAACACTGTGTGCGTGGGGGTTAGTTTTCGGTTTGGCTGACTGTGTGTGAGAAAAAAAAATAATGTATGCTTTCCTGCATTGCATTTTTCTTTTCGTTTTTTTCATCAATGTGTGTTTCCGATAAAACAAACTTCGAATTATAATGATAACGATAATAACAATAATGATGTTTTTCTGTTTTGTTTTGTTTGGGATATTTCAAATATTTTTTATTTATTTATTCGGTGATCAAGTGTTTATTGGTGATCGATTTTCTCGATCTTTCGGTTTGTTCAAGGTTTTTCTTTGGTCATCTCATTAGTCAAAATGTATAGTAAAATAATGTATTTTCGTTGTTATTGTCATCGTTATTATTGTTTGATGTTTTTCAACAAAAAAAAAGGTTTTTTCCTGTAGTAATATTATTCTTCTGTTGTTTTGTTTTCGATCAATTTTGATTTATTATTAGCAAACTAATAGATTTTACAATTGATAATATTGATTGAGAAAAAAAAATTCTCGTTCGTTTGTGGGTTAAACCAAACAATTCAATTGTGTGTCTCTATCAGAATTTCAGGTTTAAACAGAGAGAAAATTCCTGTTAATTCTTGTTCTGCAACCAAAAAAATAATAATAAGAAACATTTACAGAAAATTTTCCGATTTTCTTCCTTCCTTCTCTCTCTTGAAATCTAATTTTTTTGTATCTTTTTTCATCTTCCTTACTTTGTTATTATTATTCAACAAAAACATCCAAACAACAAGATTTGAATGAAGCAGAATAAAATATAAAAATTGTGAAAATGAAAATGAATTTTTACAATTTTCATTTGGTTATTTATTAATGTTATATATTTGTTTTCCCCCTGTCTACATTCATTCATTCATTCAATTCAATTCATCTATCGAAACCAAGTCATTTCTTATGCCAAATGTTCTTTTTCTCTCTTTCTTTTTTATTTTCATTTGCTTCATATTCTTGCCGCATCAAATAATCATGTGTGTATGAAAATGATATGAATGTTCATTTTGAATTTTTCTTTTTCTTTCTTTTTCTTTTTTATTTTGCTTATCAAATCTTTTCCATCTCTTTCTTATTGCCATTTCTATCTTTATTTTTGTTTAGCCGAATTTTCCTTCTTGCTTTCTCTCTCTCCATCTCTCTCTCTCAATGTAATAATCATATTCACTGACAGGATACCAATTTCTTTTTATGATAATATGTATGTATGTATGTATGTAGCGGTGATTCTTGTTTTCCAAAAAATGATATTCTTCACTTTACTTTTTTTTCTTTTCTTTATTTTGTTTTTCTTTTTTGGTTGACGCCGGCGCCTAGAATTATAATCAAACAAGCAATAGCTAACGAATGAAAAGTAAACCTGGTTGAATTTTGATGATGATAATAATGATGATGATCAGAACCGAAGAATTTCTTTCCCTTCATCGTTTAGATGTGTGCGCACTAACCTTTTAACGGATGTCTTTTACTCGTTTATGTGCTTTGTATTTTTTTTTTCACCGAACAATTCATATCACTAATGATGCTTAACATGTCATGTTCATAGGATTTCTACATGTATGTGTGTATATTTTGTTTCCATATATAACGTTCCGTTCCATTTGTATCATCGTTTTTTGCGGCTAGTTTTTTATTATTATCATTATTCTTGTGTGAAAGCTGTGTGTATAAGGAGAAGTAAAATGTTGTAAGTGAACCAAACAAAAAAAAAAACTTGGTTTTTCGAAAATCATTTAACATCCAAAGGAAGAAGAAGAAGAAAAATCTTGATTTTTTTTTCGCGGCTTGTTTCAATTCCAAAAAAAAATGTTTCAATTTTCATTTTCCGTCTGATAAAACAACAACTGGATTCAGAAAAAAAACTGAATTTTTCACTTCACTAACTATCACTGTTTAGGTGAAAGAAATCATTTGCAAAACCAAAAACGATAACCGAGAAAAATTTTTGTTTCAATTTAGTTTTGTATCAATTTTTTTTTCATGTTTCCTTTGTGAAATTTAAACACTTTTTTGATCGAAACACAATCAACAAACAAAATCGCTTAATTGAATGAAGTAAAAAAATTGTTTGTTTGTTTTGTTTTTTTCCGGAACATTCAACAAACAACATAATGATCCATCATGTTTGTGTGTGTGTGTGTGTGTGTGTGTGTTTTATAAGTTAAACAAATAAGTGTTGCTGTTACAAAAATTTGTTTTTCAGTTTTTCAGTTTGTTTGATCAAATTTTGTTGTTGTTAAAGCAACACTCATCCTTTATTCTATTCGCATCTTTTGTTGTTGTTTTGCAAAAAAATTCTAGTTTGTTTGAATTCTAGTTTGATAAACTTCGACAACAACAACAACAACATTAACAAAAACAACAACAATGACAACAACAACAACAACAAGCCAATAGTCCCTAGAGTTGATCATTATGTAAATTTATAATTTCTTCTTCATCATTTTTATCAAGTTTTTTTTAAAAGTGAATTTTTCAAAACAAGAAAAAAATTAATTTAATTTTTTTTTTGTTTGTTTCTCTCGTTAAAAATTCTGTTCATTCATCCATGGTTGTTGTTTTTCTGGTTTGGTTTTTTCAAAAATTCAAAAAATTTTGAAATTTTTGTTTTTCTCTCATTCTCAAATACATCAAATTTTGTGATCTATAAAGCCAATTTTTCAAAGTTTTCAACCAACAACAGTTGATTTTTTTCAAATTCAAAACAATTATTACAAACAAAACAACCAAACAAAAAAAAACGGTATGAAAATTCTTTGAAATTTTTGACATTTTCATATTCCAGATTCTCTTTCTACTTGATTTTCAAGCAGAATTTCAAACGTTTTCATTCGTTTTCACTATTTTCATCCACTGTTTTTTGTTGTTTCCTTTATGAAAAACCTATATTGTGTTGAAATAGTTATTAATCATTGTTTTAGACTTATAAAAAGTCCACACTATTTTACAAACAACCTTACAACTTTTTTTTGTAACAAAAGATATTATTCTTTTTTGTTTGTAAGAAATTTTTTCTTTGTTCCAAAAAAAATCGGCTTACCTATTTCACAATCTTAAATTCTGGACAATGACTAATGTTTTCTCATTTATTTTCTCATATAGTTTGACATTATCGAAGTTTCGGTTGTTTGATAATTTTAGGTTTTATCGAAAATAGGAAAATAGGTGTTATGTTCAGATTTTCAACAATTTTTCATTCAGTTTTTCCCTGTCTCTTACCTGTATATATCCAAATAGTTCAGGAAAACCGGCCAACTTAATAACGAAAAAGAGGTTACCCGAGGTTTGTTTGAACAACAACATTCCTATTCTAAATTACCATTATTTTTTTTGCCATTTATTTCAAGTCGACGACTATCACCACCAACATCATTATAATTCAGAATGAAAATATTTATTTTTTGTTTTTCTCCACGTTACTCTTTGTGAATTCATAATATCATTGTTTTCGAAATTCTTCAAAAAAAAAGATGCTAAAAGGCTGATATGAAAGAAAAACAAAAACAGCTACCGTCATATACCGTTATCGATCATTTATTAGTGTTTTTTTCCATTTTAGCCCAAAAACACACATACAAAATTCATTCACCCAAAACAAAATGTACAGAAAGCAAACTAATTGAATGTTTTGGAAAGAAAAAAAAATTGATAGCTTGTCAGAAACAACAATTTTGTTTTCTCGTTTTCTGGTTCCTATACGACCATAAAACAAACAAGAAAAGTACATATATATTATGGCCAAAGACCATAGAGAAAAAAAAATCAAAAAAAAAGAAGAAAAATTGAAACGAATCCAAAGCAAAAAAATGGATCCACATTTTTTTATTGTTGATAAACCTGTGTGTGTGTGTGGGAGAAAAACAAGGAATCATCATTCTCTGTCTTGTTTCTTCTGGTGGGAATGTTATTCTAACTTGATGATATTGGTGTTGGAAAAAAAATTTCAATCGTTTCTTTGCAACCATTTTTACACAAAGAATTTTTATTTTTGTGATCTTTATTTTTCGCTCATTCAATCAATGAAATTCTCATTACATTTTAATTAACGATTTGTTTGAATCGGATGGATTTTTAACTGATTTTTTGTTGATTTTTTAATGAAAAAATTTTTCCTTTTTCCCCAATGAAAAATGAAAATATCTTTTCTTTTTCTAATTATCCAGCAATGAAAAATTGTTAGAAACATTGTTCATTGAGTCTTTCTCTTTTTTTCTTAGTTTAATTTCAAAATAAGAATTCAATTTTTCAAATTTTGAATTCTGTTTTTGATTAGTTTTTCATTCTTTACTACAGAATCCATTATTTTATCATAAATTTTACTTGAGATATTTATTATTATTCTCGTTGAACCATAATCAAAATCAAATCATTCATCATCATATATAAATCACCACTGTGCGTTTGTTCAAATGGAAAAATAACAACATTGAAATAATGTGATGAAATATTCTTTTTTTTTCAAAAGAAAAAGAAATCCATTATATAAAAAAACGAAATTTTAGACTTTTATTTATTCAAAACATTCAACAACAATGGACAATGAATATTTTTCTTTTCCATTCTTGTTTTCTTTCTCTCTCTTTCACTCAGTTTTTTTTACTTTTTGCAAAATTGAATAAATTCTTATGTATGGCTATTGAAATTCAAGTAGTTCACCTTTGTTATTTTTAAAAGTTCATTTTTAGAAATTTTTTGGCTGGTTTTGGCTTTCAAATTCTGTCTCTCTTTTTTTTCCCGAAATTTCTTTCTCCTATCATATTATATAATGATGATAAAGTGGTCATTGGAAAAAAAACGAGAGATGGAAAAAAAGTTTATTTAATTTTGTAAAAATAGAAAATTTTCTTCTATTTTTAACCAATTTTTTTTTATTCGATAATCTTCCTTTTGTAATGTGAATTTTTTTTATTTTTTTTATCCAGAATCCATTGCGAAATTTTGAAATTCCTGAAAATTTTATTTTTAAAAAACTCTACAAGCAACAAAACAACAGTAAATAAATTATGGGAACAACTGGAAGATTTGGTGGCGGTGGTCATGGTTTGACTGGACCAAAACATATCTGTAAGTTAATGTTTTTTTTTTTTTTTTTTTTTTTTTTTTGCTGTAATCTTTGAATTTCTTACGAATCGAAATCGGTTTTAACCCTAAACAAACCAACGATAAATAATAAATCCGAATATTTTTTTTTTGAATGGAAATTTTCAGATAAATTTCAGATGCGTAGGCGTAACATGGAAATAACACTGTGCGCGCAGTTTTGTTTAAGAAAAAAAAGAGAATCCCGAAAAAAATATTATAATCAAAATGTTACCAAAAACAACAACAACAACAACAACAAAAATTTGAATATATTTCCCAACATGTTTCATTTAAAATATATTAACACCCACGTCTGAATGAACAAAACCAAATGAGTTCTCTTCACACAACAACAACGACAGTCAGCAACAGTAAATGAATGAAATTAAGAATTTTGAATGAAACAAAGCATAACAACAACAACAACAAAAAAAAACCAACAACATTTATTCAAGACATTTAAGAATAAAGTCTGTACTCAAGAAAACCCCAAAATAATCATTATCATTAACACAGAACTTTTGTTGTTGTTGTTGTCGGTCGACTTTATTATTATTATTTTTTTTTGTACTTGAAGAAAATGAAAATAAAAAAACATTTTTCCTCGAAAATAGCTTTTGCCAAAATGATGATGATGATGTGAATGATGATAAACCCGGTGAATTCTTTTTCATAAATATTTTTGATATCTGACAATTTTACCGACAGAAAACAAAAAATACTGACGCCAATGTTGATGGTGGTAATGATAATTTTACTTGTCAAAATATTTTTTGTTTGTCGTCGCAGTTGTCATCGTTGTCGTTGATTTATACAAGTGAAAAAAAAAGAAAAGAAATCAAATTAATTATCCATGTTTTTTTTCTGTTATGAAGAAATATTGTCGCTATAAATTGGTTTGCTTCCTGAAACATCATCATGAAATGATGAATTTTCGCTTGTTTTTTGTTATTTGCTTCCGAAATTTTCTATTTTCATCATCATTTGAAATTAACATAATGATAAAAAGAATTATTTTACTCGAAACAAAAAACAAAAAACAGAGAAATTTGAAACAAAAATTGTCACAAAATGACAATATCAAACATTGAATGATCATTAGTATTTTGTTGGTTTCATAAAGGTTTTTTTATTTTAAAAATTATCATTTTTTTTGGTTACATTAGGGTTATGTGTCTTTGTCTGGCTGTCTGTCGGTGTTTGTATGTGATTCTGATGCGTTTTTTCATATTCCTGAAACAAAAAACAAAACGAGAAAATCATCCATATACAAATCCATTATACAATGCATCTGTTTCGTTTTTTCTATTTTGCTTATTCGTTTTTTCTTCTTCTTCTTTTTCTTCGAAACGTGTCAAGAATCAATTATTCTAATGGAATTTCTTCAACGTAGCGAAAAAGAAAAAGAAAATCTTTTACATCATCATCGTGATGATCATGATGATCCATTCTCCTCCCCTTCTTCCTCAATGAAAAACAATCATCACGAAATATTTATGATAATGATAATGGCGACAATGAATTGTTTTTGGGTCTGTCTGTCTGACTGACTGACTATGAAAAAAATCTATTTTCACATTCGATTGAATGATTGAAATCATCATCATCATAATCATTTTCATTATCGATATTGAACATTGATGATGTACGTGCCAAATTCTTCAATGATAATTTTTTCTGTTTTGTTTGTTCATCTTTAGTTTTGTAGGAAAATCCTATAGGAAAACTATCCGGACATGGAATTTTGTCAATTTGTTCTTTTTCCCACCACTTTGTTTGTATTTTGTCTTGTTTTGTTTTTGGATTTTGATTTTGATTGATTAATGAAAGTTTTGTAATCAGAATAAATAAACAAACAAACAGGATTAATTAATTAATTATTCAAAATGTTAATGAATTTTTTAAAAGTTGAAAAAAAACAAATTATTTCGGAAAATTTGATTGGATTTTTGTAGGGAAATTTTCCGGGAAATTTCAGTGCTTTTCTTCGATTCCATTCAACATTTCAAAGATATTTCTTACTTTTTCACATGAAGAAAAAGAAAATATTGCCAGAATAAAACAAGTAGAGTCATCGATCAAATGTCAAAAATCATCATCGATTGATAAATATTTCAATATATCAATGATTTTCTTTTATTCACGAATCCATTCAATTCCTTTTCATTTGAAAATTATTGCAATTTTTTCGGGTAATAAATAATATCGGTTACTATGAAAGAAAATATTGCCTACTCGATTCTCTAGTATACTTTTGAAATTAATGTCCCAAAATTTTATTTGATGTACAAGTGTATTTCATGTAATAATAATTGACCACGAGTACTATTATATCTGGTTCATGGCGTCCAGGTCCAAATGATTGCACTTTTTTTTCAAGTACATTTTCACAAAATGTCAAATGTTCAATTGTTCTTCTTCTTTTCTGTTGAATGATCGTGCTTGCTTGTTTTACGTTTCGTAACATTATCGCAATATATTTTTTTTTTTTTTTTGGGAAATTCAATCGATCAATTGAACAAGAATTGTTTAGTTGTGTTTAGGGTTTCACAAATATTCATGATTTTCAAGAAGTTTAAAAAAAATTTACATTACATTTGGGAAAAGTTTTTTTCCGGGAATATTTCTCAAATCAAATCATCATCATCATCATAATGTTGACATGGTAATATTTTTTTTTTCACCGGAAAAAAATGATGATGACCCGTATATGTGTCAATATTTGTTTTGTTTGCTTTTTCTTTTTGTTCATTCAACCTTTTCATTCATCAAATAAATTCTGGCCACCCAATGTATATTCTGCCTATGAAATTGATTTTTTTTTGTGAAAATTAAAAAAACTCCAAGCAAACCTTTGAAATTTATCGTCTGAATTGATGTGAAAAAATGTACAGTGAGAAAGATTTTTTTTCTTTCTTTCAATTTAATAATGAAAATGTCGTTGAAGAAATAATGAAATTCAATTTTTACCGCGTTCGAAGAATGAAAGTCAAATCATTCAAGTGAACAAATTCTTGCGTGTTTTTCCTTCATTTTATTCACATTTTCGAAAAAATTTCTCAAATACTCCCGAAAACATTTTCTGAGTATTCAATTATCATCATTATTATCGATGAGTTTGGATGAAAACCATTTAAAAAAACATTCATTCATTGCTTGCAAACAACCAAAATAAAATTAAAAGGTTTTATCATCGTGCCATCAATTTGTATGGTTTTTTTTAAGAATATTTTAAAATTCCTTTCGATTTAAATTTCTTTTAAAAGGTTTTTTTTTTTCGTTCGTTCGGTTAACATCAATCTGATAATTTTTAAAGTTGTGTGATGACATTTCATGAATCGATTCCGGGATTGTTTTCCAAATGCTCATTCACAAATTGAATCGACAATTTATTTGATTCAAATTTTGTTGCGAAAAATTTTCACTGTAAAAAGAAAAATCATTTGCACATTTTCAAGTTTGACTCAATCTTTCATTTTATGTTGAAAATTTACATTTTTTTTTTTTTTTGGAATCTTTTCGAAAACATTTTTCGGGACAGAATTTTCTCGAACAAGATTAATCTATGGAAACATTATTTCTTGGAAACTTTTTTTGCACTGATGATGATGATGATGATGTTTCAAAATTTTTAAGTGGAATTTTTCTTTTTTTTGGCAAGAAAAAAAAATTCCATCCGGAATTGTTTTGGCAGTTTATTCGGGCTTTTTGTTTGTTTGTTTTTTGTTTTTTGTTTCTCACTGTTCTGGTCTTTGCTTTTTTGCCTCATTCACACATTTAGATCATTCATTTTCAGCTCGTTTAGTTAATCTATTTTTTTGTTTTTGTTCATTCGCTCATTTTTTTCTGTTACTGTTGTTGTTGTTGTTGGGCATCTAATTAGTGAATCTTTTTTTTTATTTTTCTCCCATCCATCCATCCATTTATTCACACTTGGTTGGATTTACTTTTTATTTCATTCATGGATTATTATTATTATTAACAAAAAGAGATGGTTCATGGACAAGTTTCCAGCGATTTTTTTTTCTGTTTGGGCCAAAAAAATTCATTTTCATCGAAACAGACAAAATGTTTTTTTTTTTTGCTTCCAATCATGGATTAAGATTCATTTATTTATTCTACCAATCATCAACACACTATCAAATTATTCATTGATCGACATTTTTTGTTGTTGTTTCCATAATCATAATTATCATTAATTTTATTCATCAAAATGCCAAACACTGTTACACAATTTGTTCCTCTGAAACTTTTTTTTTTTTTTTTTTAAAAATTTTTAATTCAAATGATAAAACTTTGTTCATTTTGGTTNTTCCATAATCATAATTATCATGAAATTTTATTCATCAAAATGCCAAACACTGTTACACAATTTTTTCCTCTGAAACTTTTTTTTTTTTTTTTTTTGTTAAAAATTCTTAATTCAAATGATGAAACTTTGTTCATTTTGGTTTTTGAAACCAAAACAAAAAAACAAAAACAAAAAACCAAATTTCCAAACATCAAAACCGAATTAATAATTTAGTTTTTTTTTTGGAGGGAAAGAAAAAAAAGGATCGTGATTATCGTTTGTGTGTGTGGTAAAATGTTCTTGGGAAAATTTTTTCTTCTTCTTCAAAGAAATTCCACAAGATATTACTGATCACCAGTATAATTTAATTATGGATGATATTTGTTTGGTTTTTTTTCGTTCGTTCGTTCGTTCAAATTCAATTACGATGATGATGATGACGATAATGAGAAATGAAATTTTTTTGTTTTGTTTTGTTTGAAGAAATAAAAATGTTTATTGTTTTTTTTTCAATTCACTCATTCATTCAGTATATGAAAATGATGTTGTTGTTTTCTTTGTTTGGTTCTTGCTGTTTTATAATTTAAAATTCTTTTCATGTAATGGATATTTTTTCTATCTCTCTCTCTCTCTCTCTTTCTCTTCGACAACAAAACATCACACAAGGGAAAACTTATTGTTTTTCTTGGTT